TCCACCACTCTTATGGTCTCACGAGATATGTTCGACGACTCACTCAAAGCCCTTCAGGACGAGGGCTTCCTTACCCTCATTGGCACCAAATTCATACGAATCAACACTTAAACTGTTCACTATTTTTTGCATTTTATTACTTTATATTTCAATTGATGATCACTTAATGTCTAACTTTTGATTTATTGCAAACACTTAATTATATCCTTTTAACTAACTTTTAATCAATACTTGTATTAATTAAATGTAATTCTTTTAATAAAATTAAAATTAAGAAAATTTATGTTGTTTTGTCATTTACTTTGCGTAACATTTATCAAAATTTGATGCATCAATACATTTAATGTTTCAAAAGAATATTCTTATGCGTTATCATAAGAGACTATATATTAGACTATATTAGACTATGAGACTATATATCATAAGAGAGTATATGTTTGAACACAATGTGCTACTCATCTAAAAAATCAAACAAATTTTGTAAAAGCAATGTCTGATTTGATATTTAATTTTATAATTAACTATATTTCTGTATAAATGACACTGGTGAAACTTTTTCTATCATAAGTTCTAGTATCTAAAATAAAAACTCATTTATTTGAGAATAACGTAACGGAATCTATGAATAGTTGAGGGAATGGTAAACAAGTGTCGGACGACTTCATTGTCTTTGAAAGAGTGAAGCAATCGTTGACTGACTGTTGATATGACGGACATCGCGAAGTTGAGGCACCGGTGCTTCTTCGACATCACCATTGGTGACCAAAACGGTATGTCATTGGATTGAATACATGCTAAGAACCGGTATCATGATATGACATCTCTTAACAGTCGGACGAATTGTCTTTGAACTCTTCAACGACGTCTGTCCGAAGACATGCGATAACTTCCGTTCCCTTTGCACTGGTATTCAAAGAGCTATCCATTGATTAGACATAAAACTAATGATTGTATTGAAGGTGAGAAGGGATTGGCGAAGACGACGGCAAAGCCATTGCACTACAAGAATGTGTTGTTTCATAGAGTGGTGAAGAACTTCATTATACAAAGCGGCGACTTCTCAATGGGTGAGCACTTGAACCACTCATTCATGTGATGGACATTCAATTGACACCAATTTGTCTTAGAGTTAAAGTTTTGATAATCAAATAATTCGCAAACAATTGCAGGGAATGGCAGAGGAGGAGAGTCCATATTTGGCGGTACTTTCAATGGTATGCCATTCACTGAATCACTCTTACAGTTAACCACAATATCAACTCAAATGCATTGAATGTGTTTCAGACGAGAATTTTGATATAAAACACGACAAACCGTTTCTGCTATCGATGGCCAACAGAGGAAAGAACACAAACGGATCTCAATTTTTTATGTGAGAAGACTTGTCTCACCTTTCAGTGAAAGGCTTTCCCTCAATATATGTCTCAATGAAACCAATTGTTTGCTTACAGAACACTCAATACTGCCAAACATTTGGACGGGTATTCACTTGCATTCATTAGTCTTGTGCTGTGTATTCATCATTTGTGTCGTACATAGAGTTCATGTGGTTTTCGGACACGTCTTGTCGGGACACGAAGTCATTAACGAAATCCAGAACCAGACCACAGATAAAGATGGCAAACCTGTGGTAGACGTCGTGATCGCCAACTGCGGTGAACTCATCCCTCAAATTAAACCGAAAGGTTTGTACACTTTTTTATGATTTGTAATTATATACCGTATATGCGTGTATTGTACCGGTAGTTAGTACCGCGTACCGTAATACCGGCAATACAAATCAACTTGTCATTGTTACTGTATCTATCACTATCAATGCTTCAAGTTTCAGACTTACACTTGTCGTCAAATAATTACCGTATAATATGAGTATTGAACACTTAAAGGTTATGGATTATTCGTAAACCTGAACTTACGTGTAAATACAAAATGAATTGTGGAGAAATGTCTAAATTGACAAGTTTTGAGTCTATAAAGAGATTGTACACATATTTGAGAGCAGTGTTCAGTTCTGTTTTTTGGTAGAGAATTATGTTTATAAGACATGGATGTGATTTGGGTTGAGAAACAATTGAGTTCTTGAGTTCCACTAACTCTGAGTCCGTCTTTATCGGACAGTAGACTCGAAAATCGGTCCGTAAAGATGTTTGCATGGATTAGGAGTCGAGTATTTACGACATGTTTTCATTGAAAGATTAATTTAAATATATACCGGTATTTGAAATTTTAGACAAAAAGAAAAAACATAAAAAAGAAAAGTCTAAGAAATCTGACGGAGAGTTGTCGAGTGATGAGGACAGGGATGGCGAACGCAAACACAAAAAGAAAAAAGAGAGTAAACATAAGAAGCATAAGAAGAATAAAGAGGAGACCAAAGATGAAGAGTTAGTGTATATTATTGGGTAATATAACGTAATATATAATATGTTCGCTATTTTTACTAATTTAGTGATAAAAAAGAGGACGAACTGAATGTCGAGTGTTCTGTAAAAGCGGAAGAAATTCCCGAAATTCCTGAAAACAAATTCTTGATGCGAGACACCGAACAAACTGACGATAAGTTAGAGAAAGAGCCCAAAGAAAGGATTACGCCTTCGGGCCGTCAATTCAGAGGAAGGGGCGCTAAAGTATGCTCTACTCATTGATTGCTTATATTTGAGTGAATAACTAAACCATTTGTTTCGTGTGGACAGCACTACAGAACTCCGTCGCCAAACGGCGATCACAGGCGGTCTCGCAGTGAGACCCCTCCCCGTTGGAAGAGAGAGCAGTCGAGAATCATCTCATTCAAGGAAATCGTTGCCCGAAGTAAAAGGTCTGTCGAAAGCCAATTCTGTTTGTTTGACT